TGAGTGATGTAAATAATGCGAATGTTCACATCTGCTAATGGTGAGTGATGTTACTGATGTGAATGTTCACATCTTTTAATGTGAGTGATGTGAATGATGTGAATGTTCACATCTGCTAATGGTGAGTGATGTTACTGATGTAAATGTTCACATCTGCTAATGTGAGTGATATTACTGATGTGAATGTTCACATCTGTTAATGAGTGATGTGAATGATGTGAATGTTTACATCTATTAATTTGTGAAACAGTCATGCAATGTATTGCAGATGTGAATGTTCACACTTGTTATATTATGTTGTTGTTAATATTTACATCTGTGTACCATTTAAGTTAACAACATAAAATGATATTAATGTTCACATCTGTCAATGTGAATCTTCTCATCTGTCATTTTATGTTGTTGTTAACATTCACATTTGCCTATCATTTAAGTTAACAATATAAGCATATAATACTGAGATTAACATTCACATCTATTGAAACATAAACAAAGCAAAAGTCTAGTGGTTACCAAATATGTGCTTGTAAAGATAAATGATGAATCCTCCAAACTTGGGTTGACTAGCCCTTGTAGTTCAAGTAGAATTTCACCATATGCATCTATCACCTGCAGAAACAGAGAGGTGACAGTACATTATTTGCAGTGTCTTTACAGTGTGTGTGTATGCGTGTGTTTGTGTGTGTGTGTGTGTGTTTTGTACACATTTACAGTTGCCATACGTTGTTGGTTATTGATTCTTCCTTGATGATGTGTATGATGTCATCAAAATACACATCTTTAGTCTTTGAGTCCCCTCGCCACACTAGCAACCTGTGCATTGTGATTACAGAAAACGTTAATGTCAACATTGTACATTTATGAAATGATCAAATTTATTAAGTATGTATGTGAACTGAACATAAGCAAAAAAAAAAATCAATCGGGGATATGTAAGATCACTTACTCATCACCATCGTTCTTGTGCAAATTTTAGACCTTCTACTTGTTGAGTTTGTTCATGTTGGCCCAAACCTTCAGTTTGTTATTCAAGGTTAACTTCTTGTACTTTGTTGGCTGCTTTTTTTTTGGTTGCTTGTCTAAATCTTGTGCAATTTGGACTGCATGGGATTGCTCTTCGGCTCCCTCTTTCCTTTTCTTTTGACCAGGCAAGTTGGGATATTCAAACTCATCCAACCGGTGCTCTTTCCTTTCTACTTTATGCGCTTTACCCTTGATGGGGGGCTGATAATGTGTTCCAATGCTGCAGTGGGATGCTTCTTAAAGCTATCATAAGCCTTTTGTGCTTCAACTTGAGTGATGATGTGGACAGACTGATCACCAAAAAGGCCTTGAAGTATTGTTTTTTCACATTCCAAGTTGATGACCAACTTTGTCAGCCGCTGAATTTCTGTATCTTTCCACTCCATGCAAGTCTTCATGTCCATGTCCATATTGGATGGGCCCAATTGGTCAAATAGTTTGGCTTCAAGGGCAGCAATCACCCTTGCCCTCAACTCCCATGATTCTTCCAACTATTTGTATTTCGCTTCCCATTGTCGTACAAGACCCCAAGCTTTTTGGTTTTCTTTTATAAGTACTTCCACAATGTCCGGCTCAGTTGGTTGTGCTATGATGATACCTCTCTTGGCATTGGGGGTGCTACAACTGGGGTTAACATCGTGTCCAACATCATTCAGGTCCATTGCATCGACAGAAAATCCATCCATGTCGTCATTGCGTTGACTGTCTTTGCTTTCATCATCATGGCTTTCATCTTTCTTTGCTGGTGCACTTGACAAAATCTCAGGTTTGGGCTCCACATTCAATTTTGTATGATGGTACATCTTCGCTTCAGTTGGGGATACCATTAGCTCGCCGCCATATACCTGCAGTTGGAGACAGTATGTTAGTTAGATAGTTTCTTATCTCACTATGTGAATGGGCACAATATTTTTGGTTGTACTTCTACCTCATTTAAACCAAGCTTAGCCAAAGATATGGACTTCATGTTGTTATGTAAGGTTGTGAGGTCCCACTTTACGCATCGCGGAATGGCATTGGGGTTGCAGGGTTGTAAGATTGTTGTATGCTCACACAACCAATACTGAAACAAATAACAAATATCAGTAATGTGAATGTTCACATCAATTAACACTGATGTGAATGTTTACACCGCTGGGCAATAATGTGAATGTTCATATCAATTAACACTGATGTGAATGTTTACACCACTGGGCAGTAATGTGAATGTTTACATCAATTAACATTGATGTGAATGTTTACACCAGTGGCTAATACTGTGTGTTTATACATTATTGAATAGTAATGTGGATGTTCACATTATTGATGTCAACTTCCACACCATTGCCTAGTAATGTAAATGTTCACATCAGTAATGTAAATGTTCCAAATTTCTTTTGGTGCTACTATCACATCAATCTAGACTGATGTGAATGTTTACAGCAGTGTCTACTAATGTGTGTTTGTACATTACTGAACAGTAATGTGAATGTTTAAATCACTGATGTCAACTTCCACACCAATGCCCAGTAATGTGAATGTTCGACATTTGTTTTGGTGCAAACATCACATCAATCTACATTGATGTGAATGTTTACACCAGCGTCTACTAATGTGTGTTTATACATTACTGAACAGTAATGTGAATGTTTACATCACTGATGTCAACTTCCACACCATTGCCCAGTAATGTGAACATTCACATCAGAATGGGCAAACCTCGTAAATATTCATATTAAACATAGAATAAGTTTTATGAGATTTATCATTAACAACATCACACATCCGGTGACTCGTCCTGGTTTTCCACAGTTTTGGCCCAATGAACCCAATCATACTCGATCATCTTGTCTAATGGGTCCATGTATGAGAAGAAAGCCCATCCAATTGTTTCTCCTGATGTAGAAAAGAATAGCTTGACGCATGCATACATGCAAACTAATCTTGCAGCCTCTTCATTGTCTTGTTTCTTTGTGCCCTTTAATGCTTCGCTCAGAATTTCTCGTATTTTGACAACACTTAACCGACTAACATCCTTGCACATTCAGTGTATGATGTCGGTTGTTGGTTTTGCACTGTAAGAGAGGTCCATCGACTTGGTGCCGTAGTCCACCCCAAAATCAGTGATACGTCGCTTCTAAAAATCTGGATGTTCTTATCCCCAATATAAAACCTCCCACTAGATGGCTTGAATGTCTGTACTATACGTACAATGACATCATCATATTTCATACAGTAGTTGAGGTCGACTTCATTACTGATCAAGCAATCAAATGATGGCCAAAACGGCGTTTTTCTAAGGCACTTCAATTGGCCACTTGTAAATTTTATATCCTTCAACAGTTTGACCAATCCAGTTATATTTGACCGGTAGTTAACTTTTTTCATGTTCACTTCTTCAGGAACAGCTGCTTGATCAGGTTTGGCTTTGGCACGGGATTCCACTCGCTTTCGCTTGCCATCAAATCTATGAGGAAGACCTGGGTGTTCAAATAAGAACATATAATTGGCTGAAAAACAGAGGATGGAACCAAAAGCACCAAACAACATTCAACAATCAGCATTGACAGTAATGTGAACATTCACATCATTGTACACTAATGTGAATGTTCACATCAGTGTATACTAATGTTAGTTTACCCAGTATAGTAATGTGAATGTTCACATCATCTATGTTTGCAAAATCAATTTCGAAAACAACACCAGTTATAGGGCAATGTAAATGTTTACATGGGTGATCACATTATGTTATAATTTGCTAAAAATCAAAGGGTGGAACCAACAGCACCAAACAACACCCAAGAACACAAACAAGTCAAACATTGATGTCAGAATGTAAATATTTACGTCATATTCCATCACATTGTTGAGTGAAGTTTGGGAGTTCTGTGGACATTAACAATCAACAATATCAACAGTGACAGTAATGTGAACATTTCATATCAGTGTCTACTACAGTAAGTTTACCTAGTAATCAACACTAATGTGAATATTCACATCATCTATGTTTATAAAATAAATTCCGAAAACAACAAAAGCTACAGGGCAATGTAAATGTTTACATGAGTGATCACATTATGCTATAATTTGCTAAAAATCAAAGGGTGGAACCAATAGTGCCAAACAACACCCAACAACACAAACAAGTCTGACATTGGTGTCACAATGTGAATATTTACATCATATTCCATCACATTATTGAGTGAAGTTTGGGGGCTCTATGAACATCAACAATCAACAATATCAACAGTGACGGTAATGTGAACATTCACATCATTATACACTGATGTGAATATTCACATCAGTGTCTACTAATGTAAGTTTACCCAGTAATCAACACTAATGTGAATGTTCACATCATCTATGTTTACAAAATCAATTCCGAAAACATCTATGTTTACAAATTCAAATCTGAAAACCAGAAGGTGGATGTATATATCGGTGATCACATTATGATTGAAAAGCAGAAGGTGAAATGGTATTACTTACTTTTGTTCCTCATGGTTTGTGGGTATGGATGACACTCAGTGGATGAAATAAACTCAATGCGACGACAGGAATTTCCGAACGATGAAGCACCCTCCTTCCGATGTGAACCTTCGCAGCGGTGAGATGAAGAGGAATCTGGGGTCGACGGTGGACGACGACGATGACGTTGGTGAGGCGATATGAATCTAGGGTTCCTGGAGGCGATGTAAATCTCGTTTCGTGGATTCAGTTTTTGTTTTGGAAATTTTGTGGATTGAATAGTTGGAATGAGAATGGGTTTTGCAGAATCGATTACACGCGGGAGAGGCAGAGGAGGGTTATTTCGTCCTTTTACAATTAATGGACCTAATGGAATATTCAGAAATAGTTTGGGTTTTATGAAATAAAACAGTTACAAATAGGATTTATCAAAAAAGAGTCCAATTATATAATACAATTTTAAATATTTATAATTTGTATAATAAATAAATTTATAATTTTAAAACAACAAAATTCAAACATATGTCGAATAATTGGTGTGGTGCCTCTAACACGTATTGGAGATGTAGCATGGTCGATAAGTGTTGTTTCACTTGTCAGTGTTTGGCACGAAGACAGCGAAATGGCATCCGCATCCCTCTCCGGTCCCAGCAATCCATTTCCACCGCCGGTTAACCGGCGACCGAACACTAAGCCGGTAAGCGTACGGACACACCCAAGCCCAAAATCCAAATTCGAACCTCCGACAGAGCGAACGACTGCACTGACTGTAAAAGAGAGAGCTCCGAGCAGAATTGACATGGCGAAGCTGAAGGAGAGAGAGGAAAGAGAGAGGAAAGAGGAAGTGAACTCCAAGATAGCTTCCCAGAAGGCGATATCCATAATACTGAGACGCGAGGCCACGAAGGCCGTCATTGAGAAGAAGAGGGGACCCAATAACTCCAAGAAGCTCTTGCCCAGGACCGTTCTTGAAGCCCTTCACGAGCGCATCACCGCCTTGCGTTGGGAGTCCGCTCTCAAGGTCCTTTGATTTCTCAATTCAATTCAATTCATCTTCATTTTCAATTATTTACTTATATAGATGTGCTTGTAGACCATCTGTTTGTATAAATGTGCCTATGAATGTACTATGGTCTAGGAATTGTTTGAGTGAGTTTACTTTTGCTTTAGATGCACATAAGAGCTTTTTATTGGCGTATGAGTTTATGAGGTTGATTAGAAACAGAATGAATGGAGTGAAGGATTTACATTATTTAAATTGTGCTCATGATATGAATTAATATGGGTGTCATGCAAATAAGGATGTTGAGATTAATGGGTGGCTATATTGAAAAAAGAAGAAGGTTGGAACAGTTATGCGGGGATGAGGTGAGAGGAAGTTGCTTGAGATGTTGTCCCATATGTAGTCAAAGTTAATGAATGTGCTGCAAGTTGAACCACAATAATTTATGAAGTGGGATGGCAAGACAGAAGTTTAGTAGTTGAACACAACCCTGAAAACAATGCTTCTCTTGCTCAAAAACAATTAGTATACTCCATACATATCCCAAGTGAGTTGGTGAAAGACCCAAAAGTTTGCCTTCTTCTAATGACCCAGAATATAAATGTTTTGGTTGCTAAAATGATGGATTTATAAAAAAATTCTGTTGTGCACCTTTTTAATTACTGTGACATGTCTGTACATGTGCTTTCTGAGGGGAAAAGGAAATTCCCCTGCAGAGCTGGAAATCGTGCAGTTCTTTCCAAGATATATTTGGCTTCAATTTTCAGATATCAGTTTTTAGATTATGTAACTTCATATTGGAAAAGATCATTATGCGAAGTTGATAGAACATAATCTAACCATTTGTAGAATTTAGATGATTCTTTAACATTTATAAGCCTAAATAATAGCTTCCTCCTCTAACGTTGAAGGAGAATAGGTGACCTAGAGAAAATTACCCTTCATGTCTAGCTTTTCCGGAATTTATGCACCAACGTCCTCCTGCCCGGGGATTCATGGTGATCTGATCCAACACAACTGTTTTATGTAAGATTTGTCAAATTATGCCCATACAAGAGAATTAAAAGATGGTGTTACAGGTATATTATCATATATATTCTCTACTCAAGGAGTTATGCAACAGAAAACTTTGTGAAAAGTCCACATAAACAAAATCTATGTGTGATTGAATGATCATTGATTTCCTTGTCTATCCCTTTCTTGCCTCAAAACAATTTCAGTCAGCTCCCTTGTCATCAGGTTGCAAACTGCCTTAACCTTGCAGCACTGGGCAGGTGTCAGACTCCAGCTGCGGGTTTGAGCCCCTTCAGTCCTGATGGATCCAATAAATAAATCAGCTCAACTCTCTTTTTTTGAAAGTATGGTGGAATGGCTGTGCTGTGAAGCTTGGAGTCAGTTTGGCCTATTCCAGGCAGGGTTTACTCGCACCACCATATAATTTGATATTAATTTGGGCAAATAATCGATTGGTTGGGAGTTGATGTGCTGCTCCATCAACCTTGACCTCCCACCATGAGGATTCATGTATGTGGGTTTGTATATGTATACTTTAATTTATGCAAATGTTTCTTTCTTCATTCTCTTCTTATCTTCTTATTCAGGTAGTTATAGATCATAGTTTTCTACGATTCGTGAAATCTAGATCATGGTGAAGCACTGTAACTGATTTTCTTTGCTTGTTAAGGCCTGGTCTTCTCTTTTTCTCATTTATCAATTGATCTTTTACTTCTTGTTTGCTTTGTTTTTTACTGTGAATCTATTTTTCTGCTCCAGTATTGTCTTTTTTTAGTTAAAATTTCAAGTAAAAGAATGTCTATTCAGTTGGGGCTGTTATCTTCAAGGCCCATGTATTTGTTCTTTCAGGTTTTTGAACTACTGCGTGAGCAACTTTGGTACAGGCCCAACTCTGGTATATACATCAAGTTGATTGTCATGCTTGGAAAATGCAAGCAACCAGAGAGAGCCCATTCCCTATTTCAAGCTATGATTGACGAAGGCTGTGCTGTGAATCATGAATCATACACTGCGCTTTTATCTGCATACAGTAGGAGTGGCCTTTTCAACCAAGCATTTTCTCTCCTTGATCAGATGAAGAACAGCCCTGATTGCAAGCCTGACGTATACACATACTCAATCTTAATTAAATCATGCCTCCAGCTTTTTGCCTTTGACAAAGTGGAGAATTTGCTTTCTGACATGGTGTCTCAGGGAATCAAGCCCAATACGATTACATACAATACCCTTATCGATGCCTATGGGAAAGCAAAAAAGTAAGTGTCACATTTTTTTGTATTCTTTGCATCATCTTGATGCTTTCTTAATAAAATTTGTTTATTAATCCAAAAAAAAAAAAAAAAAGTGTCACCTTTCCCCTTAAAAATTTCTGATTCCATGCAAGTGTCAGGATAACAGTGAAACTGTTACAATGTTTTCATTGTCTGGTCATGAAGAATGTGGAAAACAAGTGACGACAGATATAATATTTATTCTCTTTCTGGTGGATTTTGTTTCATTAAATGAGCAGTGGGAGGTGGAGAATGACCTTACAGCCATTACTTCTCCATCGTCAAGATTGCCACCACCACTGCTTGCCCTTCCCTGACCTCCATGGCCACAGCAATCTCATTTGCCAGTCACTTTCATTTTGTCATCTGTAGCAACATAACATTTTAATTGCCCTTTGTGTTACTCAACCGAACATAAAAATAAAATTTAGAAAAGGGCTATGTTCTTTTATTTGTCTGAAATTATCGTGATGTTGTAACTATCACTGATTCATTGTTTCCATTTCTCAAAAGGTTTTCCAAGATGGAATCAACACTTGTGGAAATGCTCCATGAAGGGAAATGTGAGCCTGATGTCTGGACCATGAACTCCACATTGAGAGCATTTGGAAGTAGCGGTCAAATAGAAACAATGGAGAAATGTTATGAGAAGTTTCAGTGTGCTGGAATCCAACCCAACATCAAGACTTTCAATGTACTTCTAGACTCGTATGGAAAATCAGGGAATTATAAGAAAATGAGTGCCGTAATGGAATACATGCAGAAATACCACTTCTCCTGGACACTAGTAACATACAATATAGTAATAGACGCATTCGGAAGGGCAGGAGATTCGAAACAGATGGAGTTTTTGTTTAGGTTGATGCAATCAGAGAGGATAAAACCAAACTGCGTTACACTTTGTTCACTTGTAAGGGCTTACGGGCAAACTGGGAAAGCAGAAAAAATTGGTGGTGTTTTGCGGTTTATTGAGAACTCGGATGTGACACTTGATATCGTATTTTTCAACTGCCTCGTGGATGCTTATGGGATGATGGGATGCTTTGCAGAGATGAAAGGAGTGTTAGAGATGATGGAGAGGAAAGGATGTAAGCCTGATCAGATCACATATAGAACCATGATTAAAGCATACACGGTCAGTGGAATGACTAGCCATGCGAAGGAGCTCCGAGAGTTTTTTGTCTCAGTGAAGAAGACTTCACTAGATATGGAGAAGCACATTCATTGACGAGAAGTTTCAAGGTTGGACAGTAACCGTACAACATAATGTATGACCCCACAACATAATGTATAGTTATCTTTTATCTTTATTTTAAAATTTTTTTGGGGGGGTCAATTTTTTACTTTGTATGTGAATTATGATGAAACAAATGACAAGCAGCAATCCTGTTGATTTACTTTTCAGTGGACCAAATAATCATGTACAGCCTTGACATTTTGCTCAGAAAGCCTCTCTTTTCTTTCTATTTTTCCATTATTATTTGCATTTTGAAAATTATTCTAGGGTATCTTCTGAAAGTATATTACGGAATTCTTTTTTTTCTTCCCCATGAGAGATTATTGTCATTTGCTAATAAAGATTTAAGCTACTCTCAAATAAAAGGCAGACTCGGGCTCCATCCATGAGATTTGCTCACGAGTCATAAAGCATCATTTGCTTAAACACTTAAAAGCTTGAGGATTCATTAGGCAGGAAATAGTCATGATTTTGGAATCAGACCATGAAGTAGACATCTTTTGCGTGAAAGGCCTATACTGAATAATCAACATATCCACATGCCACGTAGTAAAATCATATTTTGCAGAGAAGTTTCCTATATTAGTAGGAATCAATGAGAAAATCGCAAATTGTTCAAGTGGGTTTTGGGCATAATCATAAGGAACACTTCCCACGAAGTCGTAAGCCATGAAAAAACCAACCCCTCAAGCTTCTAGGCTTCTACCTATAAAAGCCAATAGTTACTAAAATTTTTAGGCAAGATTTTTTTTAAAACTTTTTTGGGTTAGAAAAATGGTGAAGCAAATAGATTATTCCAACCTCACCATTAGGGCACATTGTCCCATAACGCCCATAGGCATCTGTAGGACCGATGATAGCCACTAAGTGTGTCGGTGGTCTCATGCGCGGGGAGCACTGTGAAATAGAGATGACTCCAACGAGTGGTTACGGAGAGTCGAACCACCCAAGCATTGAGCAAGGTAGTCCGAAACCCATCCGTTGAACCAACCACACTTTGGTTTTAGGCAAGAAATTGGAACCATCTTTCTACCTCACAATAGTTGGTAAATTTTTGGCAATTTGTTAGTCCCTCTCATCACTCAGCAGTAACCCTTGTGCTGACAAGTGAAAGACGCTCTCCTGTAATTTACAAAAAATAACAAAATTAAACATTCTCTATTAGGCTACCCTTGAGTTTTAGCTCTTGCTAATGGTAGTTCTGGTATAATGTTCTTTATTCCAGGAGAGGTGGTTTCCACAAGAAAAACAACACACACAAATACATTTATAATTTTTTTTTTAATCGGCGAAATTGAGTTATTAGTTGTTAAATTAGCACCTATTGGATTTAACCTCCTCACCATTTGCAAAGCACAAAATGTTTGCCCCTTAATTCAACTCCTCCTAGGATGAGTTGAACCTATGACTTCCCCTATGGACTAAGCCCTTAGGAAAATCACGGTGGCCAACTAGGTGAGGCCTAGTTGGTTCAAATACATTTATAAATGTGTAAGGGAAAATTTTGGTTCACCAAGGACAGGATGTCTGATAAAACTCTGGACCAGCTTGCTTTTGCAATTCTTAAGACACACCTTTCATACAACTAAATAGAGTATGGTTATTGCTCTATGTTGGTGGTTGAAGACAAACCTGGACACAATAAATCAGTAACTTCTCTATACTGCCATGCAGTAACTTTAGAAACAGGTGATGGAAGTTTTGGTTCTCGTTACTTACAAGTACTAATGGATTTGCACATGAGCTCTACATTGGAGCTGCAACATTTTTTAGTTGTAGTCTTTAGAGGTAACTAAAAGATATATACTCAGAAATAGCATAAGTTTAGCACATAGTAACTTGAACTTGAACTGCAAACAACAAACTGAAATCCTTTCTTGTTAAATTAAACATGGAAACTGTGGGTGTTAATTTTTGACCACACAACCAAACAGGGAAACTCAGCAGGAGAGTATCAACAGAATAGATTAAGCCCGAACAACCTGTCACAGAAAGATAAGAATCCAGTGGTGGTTTGTCCACCAGGGGGTACTCTGACAATCAAGTCAGTAATTATCTCTCAAAGATAGTCAACTATGCTTAACTCACAAGAAAGAACTTACTGTTTCCAGTATCTTATACATACCTCAGATCCACGAGGGTGCTCTGCTTTTATAGCCAGCACTTGACCTGATCCCTATAGAGACCTAACCTTAACGAACTCAGGCTTAATGTTCATCTTGGACTCCCAGCTAGATAGGGATAAACTCCGTAAGAGCTTTATCTTTTATCCAGACTGAGATCCTCCCCCTATTCTAGGACTTTTGTCCCTTATCCGTTTATCTTGGATTCCGATATCTCCTCAGATAACCTCGGCCTAGCCGAGGTTCACCTCGGCATCATGACCAGGCCACGTGGCACCTTGGCTGATACTTCGGCATCACCTTAGCCACGTGTTATTATTCTCAAAATATGTCCCCACAACTGTCCCCTAGGTTCTATTACCTCGGCATCCTGAGGTGATGAAACCTACATTGCTTGTTCAAATACTATGTTGGCTAAAAATTCAATCCTTCCCATCAACCGAGATCATTACTCATCGGTTTCAAGTACCCAGCACTTAACTATCCATTTCTATCAAGGGTCAAGAACCAAGAATCAAGTGCTTTAGATATTCCAGCCGAGGTAGTTCCTTTAGCCGAGGTTTTTGCTTCATTAAATCAAGAACTCCAAGAGTTTTATTTGCTCATGAGCTGTTACGCATGGTTTTTTTCAACTGTTTCTGCCACACATCCTTTCCTTATCAGTATGTACCTGACACGCGCTATCAGGTCGTGTCGCTTCTGCGTACGCCGCCTGACAAGCAGGTCGTCCAAGGTGTTTTAATTATGTTTTGCCGCCTTTTCACATTTTAATAAAAACACTTTCTCTCTCTCTCTGTCTTTTCACTTCGTATTCTCACACACTCTCTCAAGGTTTTCTCTATCTACGAAATTTTCCTCAAACCTCCATTACTGTCCTTTCGAGCTTTTTACGTTCATCTAACTTCCGCTTCCGGCGAGCTTTTTACCACCAGGCTCTAGACAATACCAACATTGGACTTCGGCGAACTTCTTTCCAGCCTTTATTCGGTAAGTTACGATTTCTAGTCTTGTAATCTCTGTCCTTTATTTTTGATTTGTTGCGTATCTGTTTACCTATTTACATGTTGTTCATTGCTATTGCAAATCAGTTTTTTGTTCTTGAATCTTCGTTGTATAACATATCCTTGTGTCTATTCACATTTGTTCGTGATTCCCACACACACATAGTGTTCATAAGTTTGAAGCTTTAACAATTTTGCCACTGTTCTTGGCTTTTGTACATCTGCACACACCTACTCAGTGTCTCTTGAAAAATGTTGCTGTCTTGACTCTGAATTACGTTCTTTTCTATTTTTTCTTTGACTTGTTTCCAGATTCTTTGCCTTTGATTCTTGTTTCCGTATAGACTTAGGTTTGGGATTTGATAGAAACCACATTCTTTAGGAAAATTGAAACAAATTCCCCTTAAATCTTCATGAACTCTTACCCCAGTTCCAACTTAAATTTTAGCCAAGGTTCCCAATCCCCACCATTTTCTTTTCTCTGACGTTCTTCCCAAAACACCCTAAATCGAGATAATGGGTATGTTTAGGTGGAGGGTAGACTCCCCAGAAAAACTTGAGCACTTTAGGAGAGAATTTTCTATCCCAGCCGACGTCCAACTTAGGCTAGCTGGGGAGGAGGACTTTATTATGTCGAATAAGGATTCCATGCCCTTTCCAGTGGCTGCCTTTATCGAATGTGGACTTTGGTTTCCCCTTGATAACCTTTTTCGTGAAATCCTCCATTATTACAAACTTAACCCCATGCAACTTGCCATAAACTCATATAGAGTCATCAATGGCACAATTAAACTAGCATACCGAGAAAAAGCTAGGATCATTTTAGCCGACATCCAATTCTACTATACCATGTGTAACCATAAGTCTGAAAAAGGCTACATATACTGCCTCAAGCCCAAGTCCACTACCTACAAATTAATAGCCGACCTCCCAGACTCTAACAAGGGTGCTGGAGATGATTACTTCATCGTCTCAAGCAACTGAGAATTTGCACCTGACGACGACCTTCATCTCTATCCTCTGCGCCGATCGGTGTTTAAAGAGGGTGATGGTAAGAGCTGAGTTATCTTTTTAATCATATTTCGACTAGGATTTGTCAGTATACATCAATTGTTTGTAATGTTCTTCTTCTCACTTTTTTTTTGTATCTCTTCCCCAGCCAGCAAAGGATTTTCAGCAGACCTTTTTTCCCAACCCCGACCTAAAAAGGCTTTTAGGTTTGGATATTAACAAGCGCAAAGCCCCTTTGCTGCTTAATTATATCCCGACCTATAAGTCTGCGTTACTCGACGTCCCGCGCCGAAGCAAGACTGCCATATTAGCAACAACTCCCGCAGTTGCTTCATCGCCAAGGCCAGATTAGGCTTCTTCATCAAACCCAGTAGAGCAACCCTCCACTTCTGCTCCAGCTCAACTAATCCCACCATTTAGCGCCAACGGCGACGTCGTGCTTTACCAAACGTACCAACAAGCTGAACTCGTAGCTGCAAACGACAAGATTCTGAGGCGTCGGCCTACAATCCAGCCAATCCTCCAATTTCCCTTCCCACCATTCATTTCGGCACAAAAGTTACACTTGTTGCCACTGCCAACGAAATGGGCCGCAAACTAGCAGTTGTTGAGGACCTTCTAGCCAACATCCTAGGGGTAGTGACTATGCAGTCCTCCCCTTCTCCTTCCCAATCCAAGCCTAAGCCAAAGAGGGTCAAGAAGGCTAAAGCCAAGGCTACAGTGACTCAGTTTGATGCTGAGGACACTATACCAATCTCCAAACTGACCGAGACTGAAAAAAGCACTCCTTCTGCCGACAAGAGGCCAGCTAAGGCCAATACATTAGATTTCCAACCATCCAAAAGGCCGAGGTCTGACCAACCTGAGGGTAACAACTTTCCTCGTAATATGTCCTGGGCTCTTGAGGTCATGGTAGGGAACAGACCCCTGACTGTTGGGCCGACGCCGACGCCGACGTCGTCCCTTACCAAAAGTACCAGCAAGCCGAACTTGTAGCCGCAAACGACAAGATTCTGAGGTATCGGCCTACGATCTGTCCAATCCTCCCATTGCCCTTCCCGCCATTCACTTCGGCACCAAAGTTACATTTGTCACCATTG